TGCTTCCTTTTTCTTTTCTCTTTATGGATGCTATTTCCTCCTATTATAAATATATATTATATATTATTCTCTTAAATAATTAACTCATTTCATAATTAAATTTTGATAATTCTGATAATTATCATTATTTACATTTTATTAATCTGATCATTTTTTATTATTTTTTTTACGTGTTAGATCTACATTTAAAATTGTATTTGTCTCTAATATTAAAAGTCTAAGAAATTCTCTTAATTATCTACAAATTTTTTATTTAGTTATAAAACTATTCTTTCATTCTTTTCACTTTGGTTCTCCTTTTTTTCCTTGATCCAAATTGATACAACTTTATATCATCCAATAAATTTTTTTTTCTTGTTATGATATAATTATTGAATTAATTATGATAAAAAAGATATAACCTTATTCTATACTAGTTGACTGGTGAGAAAAATTATACCTTTTATTAAAAAATAAACATTAGTTGACATAAGTTATAGGGACTTGTGTCTCTTAATTTGTTGAGATACAAACAAGTCTCACATCGATAAAATAAAAAGAAAAATATAAATTAATTCACTTATCCTTAGTCATGAACCTCCTTTTGGGTTTTTAATTTACTTAACTCTTCCACTTTCGGATTTGAATCTAAGAAGAAGAAAAGAAAGAAAAAAAATAAAAATTAATAATTAGAAATCCAATTATGTTATGAAAAATTTTGTTCCAATTAATAATTAATATTAATATAATAAAAAAATAATACAATGATCTCGAACTAGATTTAATTTTGAATTGTAATACATGATTTTACAATTTCTAGTGAGGAAAATTAGACATGATTTTTTTTGGTAACGATATATTATTGATAAAATATTTATCAGTAGTGTCAATTTCCGTCAGAAATCATGAGTGTCCACAATAGATATTTTTCTTTCCACATAGTTTATTAATTGGTTATTTCAAAAGAAATACACAGTGCGGTAGCATAAATGGAAGAAAGGAATTATATTTTAGAAGGATGATATTTTATTCCATGACATTACATGAATTTGTACAGCAATAGGAAAATTTGATTCTCATAAAATCTGCTGCTGACAGAAATAAGGAGAATAAAATATTCTGATTCTCACAATTATTTGACTTTTTATTGCCTATAAAAAAGGAAAATAAGAACTGATATTTGGCAGCTTGATGGATCATTTCAATTAACACTCCTCCTTGACATTGAAGCTGCATCAAGTCTTTTCCTCAAGAATGCAAATCTGTCTTTAGGAAGCGCCTTTGTTAGGATGTCAGCATTTTTAAGTTCTGTTCTACAATGAACAAGTTGCACTTCTCTATCTTTTGAACTTCTTCTAGAAAGAAATACTTGATCTTGAAATGTTTTGTCTTACCATGGAACACTGGTTCACTAGCAATTGAAATTGTAGCTTGGTTGTCCACAAGTATTTGTGTGCCTTTTGTTTGTTCCACGCGCAAGTTTATCATGAGCTTTCTAATCCAAAGAGCTTGATAACTTCTAATAACAACTATATATATTCTACCTCTAATTTTGATTGAGCGATAACTTCTTGTCTTTTAGAACACCATGAAAACACACCAGAACCCAAGGTAAAGCAATAATCTGAAGTGCTTCTCATATCATCAACACAACCTGCCCAATCACTATTAGAATAAGCCAGAAGACTGAAACTTTTAACTTGATTAAACCTTATTCCATAATCAACTAACATATCTAAGAATTCTTTTTGCTGCTTGAAAGTGAATTTCACTAGCACAATACATGTACCTGGATAGTAAACTCAACATACATAATATTTAGCCTAGTTGATGTTAAATACATCAAGCACTCTATTAAGCTTTTATACAACCTTTCATCAACCTTTTCAACTTCATCTTCTTTGCATAACTTCTCCTTTTAATTCATTGGAGTTGGAGCTGGTTTGCACTCTTCCTTGTTGAACTTCTTGAGTACTTCTTTTGCATATTTTTTGCTAACACACAAATATCTCATTTTTCTCTTGCTGCACTTGCATACCAAGAAAGAATGTCATCTTTCTTGGGTCTTTCATCTCAAAGGTAACTTTCATTCTTTCTTTGAACTTGTCAATAAACTCCTTAAGACTTCCTGTAATAAACAGATCATCAACATAAAGGGACACAACAAGTACACCATTATCAACCTTTTGGACGTATAGGGTAAATTCAATTGGAATTTTTACAAAGCCTAAGTTCACCAAGTGTGCATCAATTTTATTGTACCATGAACAACATAACCCTCCGGTTGTCTGATAAAAAAATTCTTCCTCTAAGTATCCATTCAAAAAGGCAGACTTGACATCCATTTGATGTATAGCCCAACCATTTTGTGCAGCAAGTGAGAACAACAACCTTATGGTATCCAACCTAGCCACTAGAGCAAATGTTTCAAAAAAATCCACCCCAAAGATTTGGGAATATCCCTCAACAACCAATCTTGCTTTGTACTTGTTAACAGAACCATCAGGATTGAGCTTGGTCCTATAAACCTACTTGACTCCAACAACTTTTTTATGACTAGGTCTATCCACAATTCCCATGTCTAATTTTTTTCAATCATCATGAGCTCCTCCTCTATTGCATTTATCTATTTTTTATCAGTTGCAGCTTCGTTATATCCAGTAGGTTCCATGATGGAAACATTGCACCTTTGATAGAGGTTAGAAAGTGATCTTGTTCCTCTGTTAGGCTCTTCATCTATGTGATCAATGGCATGGCATGAATTTATACGACAATAGGAAAACTATAATCTCGTAAAATCTGCCACTAACAAGCATAATGTATGATAGAAACAAGGAGAATCAAATATTCTGATTCTCCCAATTATTTGACTCTTTATTGCCTACAAAACAGGAAAATAAAAAATGATATTTGATAGCTTGATGTATCATTTCAATTAACACTATTTCACGACCAAGGCCAAAATTCAAATCCTTCATAACTTGGTTAAAAAATATAAGTCACTACTACTTTTGCCAACTAATATTGTTAACCAGACATGATTTTGATTGAATTGATTCAATTTTACGCTTAAATTTGCTTTTGTGCAGGTATGAATATGAGTTTATTGGAAAGATCATCGAAGGGGTATCTAAAAAATTCAATCGCATCCCTTTACACGTTGCTAATTACGCAGTTGGGTTAGAGCCTCGAGTGCAAAAAGTAAACTCACTCCTAGATGTTGAATCAAATGATGGTGTTCATGTGATAGGGATTTATGGAATCGGTGGGATTGGCAAAACAACACTTGCATGTGCCATATACAATTTAATTGCAGATCAATTTGATAATCGTTGTTTTCTTGCTGATATTAGAAAAAATTCAATGAAACATGGCTTAGTACAACTTCAGGAGACACTTCTTTCTGATTTAATTGGCGATAAGGACATCAAGTTGGGGAATGTAAATAAAGGAATTCCAATAGTTAAAAGAAGGCTCTTTCAAAAGAAAATTCTTTTGATTTTGGATGATGTAAACTGGAGCAAATAAAAGCACTAGCAGGTGGACTTGATTGGTTTGGTTATGGTAGCAAAATTATCATAACAACAAGGGATAAACATTTGTTGTATGTTTGTGGTGTTGAAAGAACCTATGAAGTAGAAGGATTGAATCATAAAGAAGCCTTTGAATTGTTTAGTTGGAATGCTTTCAAAAGAAAACAAGTTAAGCCTACTTATTTGGACATTTCAACGAGAGCAATACTTTATTCTAATGGCCTTCCATTATCTTTGGAAATAATAGGTTCTGACTTATATGGAAAAACAAAGTTGGAATGGAATTCTGCATTAGATTCTTATGAGAAAATTCCTCATGAAGATATCCTCGACATCCTAAGAGTTAGTTATGATGGCTTAAAGGAATTTGAGAAGGAAATTTTTTTAGACATGGCATGCTTTTTCAAAGGGTACTACCTAACTGATGTCATAAACATACTATGTAGTGGTCGTGGCTCTACCCCAGAGTATGGAATTCGAGTTTTGATTGATAAATGTCTCATAAAAATTGATCAACATCGTGTGAGAATGCATGATTTGATTGAGGATATGGGTAGAGAAATTGTAAGGTTAGAATCACCTTTAAAACCAGGTGAACGTAGTAGATTATGGTTTGCTAAAGATATTGTTCATGTTTTCAAAAAGAACAAGGTACGTGCAAGGTTTGTTTGTTGGACCATTGACTTTTGATTTTAAACAAATACATAGTGAAAGACATGATAATTCTTAACTCTATATTTCAATTTTTGATGACATATTTTATTATTTCTCAATTAAATTGATTTATAATTTGGAAATTTATTCTAAATAATTTAATGCTTTTTGTTTAAAGGGATCCGATAAAACTGAGATTATCATGCTACATCTACTCGAAGATAAAAAAGTGAAATGGGATGGAAATGCATTGATGAAGATGGAAAACCTGAAAATATTAATGATTATCATGTTATTTGAATAAGAACATTTTTAAAAATTATATTTCCAAAAAATGTTTTTTAATTTTTAAACAAAAACATTATTAAGACTTGTTATCACCCTGCTGAGTCACGTCTTGTTACACTCTTTTTTTCAATTAAAGAAAGTGAATAATAAAACATATATGGTTATTATTACTTAAGAATTCCATGAATAAAACATATATGTTATCATAAAGGTATTTTCTATACATATGAGACTTTGTACAAAAGAATATAATTGGATTTATAAAAAATTTCATTTTAAAATAATAGGCTAGAAGTGCGCATATAATAATAGTAATTATTATTTATCATTTTAAATAAAATCATCTATAAAAATTAAACCATTGATATTTTTTTACTCTTTTTCTTATCGATTTCTTTACACCATTTTAGACTTCTTTTATAACATTTTCTTCTCTTTTTCTTTCTTTTCATTTCTTTCCTGTTTATATTCTCACTTTAACTTTCAATTGTCCCTAGCTTTGTCTGTACGCGTCTTCCAAGTTAGTGCTTTCTAGTTTCTTTATTCTTTTCCCATTTCTTTTTCATTTGTTCGACTGCTTAGGGGCAAAAATTCTTCATTTCTATTTTCTTTTATATAAAGAAGTTAATACAATGTGTGGCAATGTCATATCAGTATGAACAAAGGAAATAACCTTTAAGGCCAATATTTTATTGTTAGTCTGACTCAACCGTTGCTTGCTCAAACATCTCAAGAATAATATTTTATTGTTTCTACCATGGCTAATTCAACATCCTCGTCCTTTGCCTATGAATGGTCTTATGATGTTTTCCTCAATTTTCGGGGTGAGGATACCCGCTATGGTTTTACTGGACACCTTTTTCATGCTCTGTGTCAAAAGGGAGTCAAGACTTTCATGGATGATCAAGATTTGAGGAAGGGAGAAGGAATCTCAGCTCTAATGGAGGCAATTCAAGAATCTAGAACTGCCATTGTAATATTTTCAAAGGACTATGCATCATCACAGTCTTGTTTAGAAGAACTTGTCATGATCATGGAATGCTTAAATCATAAGGGCAGGCTGGTTTGGCCCGTTTTTTATAAAGTGGATCCATGTGACGTGCGACATCAGAAAGAAAGTTATGCAGAAGCACTAGCCAAGCAAGAAACCAGAATCAGTGACAAAGACAAGGTAAACAAATGGAGGTCAGTTTTGCAAGCAGCAGCTAATCTATACGGTTGGCATTTCGGTGAACGGTACGCAACTAACCATTATTTTCCTATAAATATTATGTTTTTGCAGGATATTAGAATTTCAATGACCGTCATCAGTCAAATATTTGCACTTCAGCAGGTACGAATATGAATTCATTGGAGAGATCGTTCAAGAGGTCTCTAAATGGATCAACCGTAGCACTTTACATGTTGCTCATCACCCAGTTGGGTTAGAGTCTCGCGTGCAAAAGGTGAAGTCACTTCTAGATGTTGAGTCAAATGATGGGGTCAACATGGTGGGAATTTATGGAATAGGTGGAATTGGAAAGACAACACTTGCATGTGACGTATACAATTTCATTGCTCATCAATTTGAAGGTCACTCTATTATTGCTGACATTAGAGAAAATTCAATGAAAAAAGACCTGGTACAACTTCAGGAGACCCTTCTTTGTGATGTAGTTGGGGAGAAAGACATTAAGTTGGGGAATGTAAAGAAAGGGATTCCAATAATTAAAAGTAGGCTCTGTAAAAAGAAAGTTCTTTTAATTTTGGATGATGTTGACAAATTGGAGCAATTAGAAGCACTTGCAGGTGGACCTGATTGGTTTGGTCCAGGCAGCAGAATTATTATCACAACTAGAGATATGCATTTGCTACATTTTCATGATGTTAAAAGAACTTATAAAGTTGAAGGATTAAATGATGTAGAAGCCCTTGAATTGTTCAGCAGGGATGCTTTCAAAAGAAAGCATGTTGATCCTGATTATTTGGAAATTTCCAAGAGAGTATTGCAACATTCTAATGGCCTACCGTTAGCTCTGAAAATAATAGGCTCTGATTTATATGGTAAGACAGATTTGGAATGGAAGTCAGCATTAGATACTTATGAAAGAATTCCTCATGATGATATTCAACAAATCCTAAGAGTAAGCTATGATGGCTTAAAGGAATTTGAAAAGGAAATATTTTTAGACATTGCTTGCTTCTTTAAAGGATACACACTAAGTTATGTCAAGGACATGCTACATAGTGGTCGTAGTTCTGCCCCTGACAATGCTATCCGGGTGTTAATTGATAAATGTCTAATAGAAATTGACAAACTATGTGACAAACTATGTGTGAGAATGCATGATTTGATTGAGGATATGGGTAGAGAAATTGTACGGCTTGAATCACCCTCAGAACCAGGTGAACGCAGTAGATTATGGTCCTCTGAAGATATTCTTCATGTTTTCGAACAGAACAAGGTATGTGCATTGTGCAACACATATTTGTCTCTTTGGTCCTTCATTTTTCCATTTCTGACAAAATGCATAGTGGAAGAGCTGTTGTTAAAATACAATTAAATTTTAGTTATGTTTACTATTAGTGCTTAGTCTAATATAATGAGATTTATAATTTGAAAACTCAATCTTGATTTAACTATTTTGGCTTAAGGGATCCAATAAAACTGAGATTATCATGCTACGCTTGTCTAAAGATGAAGAAGTGCAATGGAATCCATCTGCATTGGAGAAGATGGAAAACCTTAAAGTACTGGTGGTAGAAAATGCTCACTTTTTTGGGGACCTAGTGCTTCCCCAAAAAAGTTTAAGAGTGCTAAAATGGTATGGATATCCTGAATCATCACTGCCTGCTGATTTTGATCCAAAGAAACTTGTCATATTGGACTTGCCTATGAGTTCCTCCTTTACATTCAACAATCAACTGAACATGGTACTGTTAGTAGTTAACCATTTTGGTTTTTGATGTTTATTTGATTTTGAATATTAATGAGTTACAAGTCCATATAAAAATTCATGAATTAGTCACTATGTTATTTTTGTTTTTTTTGCAGAAATTTAAGTCCTTGACAGAAATGAATTTAAGCGGTTGTGAATTACTTAAAGAAATACCTAACATGTCTGAAGCACCAAATTTAAAGAAATTGCTTCTTGATAATTGCAAAAATTTAGTTGAAGTTCATGATTCTGTTGGATTCCTTGGTAAACTCGAATATTTGATAATGGATCATTGCACCAATCTTAAGCTTCTTCCTCGTGAAATGAACTTAACTTCTCTTAAAAACATGGGGCTTTGGAATTGCCAGAGTCTCATGAGTTTTCCTGAAATTTTAGGGAAGATGGAAAACGTAAGTGAACTTGATTTGAGTGGTAGTGCCATAAGTGGATTGCATTTTTCAATTGGAAATCTAGTTGGGCTCACATTCGTGGCTCTCAATGGATGCCAACGGCTACTCGAACTACCGAGGAGTATTTTTATGCTGCCAAAACTCTGGACATTTGAAGCTGACAATTGTGAGCGGCTTGCACAAGTACAAAATGAGGAAGGTCAAGATCAAGAAACAATGTCTTCACATGTCAAGAAAGCTAGTTTTCATCGTTGTTATCATCTCACAGATAAATTTCTTTCAACACTTCTTCCTTGCTTGCGCATAGTGACGGATTTATCCCTTAATTACAGCAATATCACAATCCTTCCATCATGCATCAGTGTGTGTCTCTCCTTGACAAAACTTTCATTGAATGAATGCAAGGAGCTTCGAGAAATCAGAGGCCTCCCACCAAACATAATGTATCTTTCAGCTATGAACTGTACATCCTTGACTTCCGAATCTAAGGAAATGTTACTGAATCAGGTATCTTATCTGTGTTTTGAATCTTTTCTTGTACTTTTCGAAGAAAAAAAAAATGTGGGTGCTTAACTGGCATTTTTTAATTATATGTGATTCATAGACACTACACGAGAATGGGGGAAAACATTTCATATTTACAGGATCAGCAATCCCAAGTTGGTTGAATTGCAGTAGCAAGGGTCCATCCCTGCGTTTCTGGTTTCGTAACAAGTTTCCCGAAATTACTCTATGTGCTGCTGGACTTTTTCGTTCGTTCGATCACCGTGTGTGGCACCTGATGGTCAATGACATACTACAGTTCTCGGTATATTGTTGTGTTATAGATCATTCATTTCAGGTTGAGACAAATCATACTTTTGTGTATGATCCTCTTGAAATAAGGGTTATCACAAATGAAGAATTACATATTAAGAATGGGTGGAACAGTGCTGAGATTTTGTTTGACTATCATGAATGGATGGGAGTACATGTACCGGAACAAAAATCAAACATGGCAGATATTCAATTTTCAAATCCCTACTCTTCAATGTCAAAGTAACAAAAACGCACCGATAATCTTTTATAGGTGACCTAGCGAAGAAGTGACTATAAAAGTTTTGTCAAGTCTTTTTGTATTGTACGTTCTTTCCAAACTCCTGACCATTTTTTGTAAAACAGGTTTCAGGTTACACTTGCATGGTCATGACTGACCTATGCTGCCTCAAGCAATACCACAACTTAAAGCTTTAAGAGCCAAGCGATTTGTCTGCTGAATCAAAGAAATGAAGATGATTTCAAGGTCAAAGCCAAACCAACTATAGCTGCATTGTAGTTCAGTCAGGTGACACTTGTGTTTCAAGAACAGGGGAGTGTACACCAATGCAAGATACAGGTTAACTAAGCATTGAAAGGCTTACGCTTGGGAAGTATCAATGTGGTCCCTTCTGATTCTCTATCAGAGACTCTTTCCTTTCTTAGATCACATTTTAAGCTACTTCTATGCTTCCATCCATTCCTTCTGTTAAATCCATATTTGTTGTACAAGAGTTTTCAGTATTTTTGTGTATTATGTTGTTTGTTACCTATGTTTAGTTGATTGATTAGTTTCCTAGATTTGCACCAAGCTAAGGGCGTTTGGATGTGAGGGTAGTTTTTAGAGCTATCAAAACGGGTCAGCCCGGTCCATGTGGGCCAGCCCACCTTGACTCACTTTAAAAACGAGTCAACCCAACCTGGCCTACTTTTAATTTTTTTAAAAAAAATTTGGCCCAGCCCGGCCCATCACGGGTTGGTAGGTTATACGGGCCACCCCACCAGCCCTCCAAAAATTAAAAAAAAAATCAACAAAATTCAAAATTTAAATTAATTATAAATTAACATAATAATCATAAAATTAGTATCATTAATAGTCATAAGTCATAACTCACCATACAAAATTAAATATAAATCATGATAAAAGTCTAAAATAAATTTTTTTAATATTTCATCATACAAAATTAACTACAAATCATACTTAAATTTTTATTGCAAAAAAAAAAATGGTGGGTTGGTGGGCTACCCGGCCCACCACGGGTTCAGCCCGGGTGGACCGGGTCAAAGTGGGCCGGGTTGAGATGTACTCACCTACTATAAAACTTTAATTTTTTTAGACCCGGCCTGACCCGTTTTCAAGGTGGGCCGAGTTAGCCACGGGTCCCGGCCCACTTTGACTGCTCTAGTACTAGTTTTTGTCTATCAAATCCTTTATTTTTATTTAATTTTTCCCCTTTGTTGTTTGATAGTGTTTTCAATTCACTATAAAAAAATTACTAAATTTTTCTTAAAGAATTGTAATATAGAGAATAATTTAAGTCATTTTTTTTAAAAAATACAAACCAATAATATCCAAAATTATCATATAATTAGAAAGTAGATTTTTTTTATAAATAGCAAAGAAACTTTTATTACAAACACAAACAAAAAATTCAATTAAAAATTACATCTATTTAAGATTTCAATTGTCACGATAAAATTTTTACGATTCAAATTATAATCTAAATTCAATTAACCTAAATCAACATGAATATAATTTAAACGTAAATCTAAATCTAGATCTATTAAATTTCATAAAAATGTGAAATGCAATCATGATCTCACAATTTTCATGAAATTTAAGAACGGTGAATTAGATCTATTAAATTTCATAAAAACCTGAAATGCAATCGTGATCTCACAATTTTCATGAAATTCAAGAACGGTGAATTAGATCTATTAAATTTTATAAAAACGTGAAATGCAATCGTGATTTCACAATTTTTATGAAATTCAAGAACGGTGAATTAGATCTATTAAATTTCATAAAAACGTGAAATGCAATCGTGATCTCACAATTTTCATGAAATTCAAGAACAGTGAATGATTGATTTAGGCGATTTAGGTTATTTTATGTTTAAATCTAAATCTAGATCTACAACCAAAATTAATCTTCAAATCTGATATAGATCTATTAAAACAAAATTCATAATCATGTATAATGAAAAATAGATTTAGAATAGTGAAGAAGAGGAAGAGAATTCATTCGATAAAAATAGATTTGAAACTCAAATTTTAACATAATCCATAAAACCTCAAATTGGATGAAAGGATTAGCCACACATCTTCATGTAGACGCTACAATTCCTTTGTGTAAAAAAATGCAAAGAGAAATTGATTCTAAGAGAGAAAATTTAGAGAAACTTGTAGAAGAAATATTCTAAAATATGGAAAATAAGTATAAAATCTATACAACAAGTATCATAATACCTATTAATAAAGAAATATAGTGAGTCTAATCAGAATATTTACAATTTCCAACCCACTAAATCAATTAATTATATCACTAAACAAATTATAACATTACATTCTAAAAATAAAAAGAAAATATTGTGCAAAGTTGTAACTTTACAACACAATTTTGGGTCACTTAATGTCCAAACTAGCCTTTGCTCCCAACAGAGAAGTTGTAGAACTCTCTCTTATATTTCCAATGACACTAAGAACATTCAAACCCGATGTCAAGAGCTCTAGATATGACCTGCATAAGAAACAATGACAAAATAGGAAAAATTATAAAAATTAACTAAAATTTACAACTAAAACCAAAATGACTCATTAGAACAAATCAAAGCTAATATATCACAATATGATACTAATAAAAGCCAAATAAACCAAAAACAATCCATAAAAAGATATATAAAAATTGGTCTATCAAATATCTTCACACTTATTCTTTTGCACTTGAAGACAAAACTCACTAATAAACTTAAAATTCAAAAGAAAGTAAATACAAATTTCAACATTGCATTGTCTCCAATGTAAGCATAAAATGCTATAAAACAGATAAGCGTAAAATAAATTAAAGGAAGATAATTAATTTTCATGATATTTCTCATGATTTGACCAAAGGAAGATCCTCCATTTTCTCCTTCATTTACTCCTCCACTTTAGATGTTTGGACAATGACAATGCTACTTTGTGGAAATCCAACATGACCTTCTTCTTTTAAAAACATACATGTCCAACTAAAGAATTCTTTTTCTCACATAGGTACGAGGTAAGGTAGAGAAACAAAAACATGAATATCTCTCTTAACAACCTCCATGACTCTAGTAGATACTAAGTGCTCTAAAAACCTATACCTTTTATTATCATAAAATGTAAATTTTCAAAATTTAGCACAAGGTTAGTTTCAATGCAACTATGTAACATCATAAGCAAACTCTCTAAACATATATCAAATGAAGATTCAAGTTTAAGCTCTAAGAATAAAGGTTGCACAATGGATGCTAATGGAGGCTCTTTTATTGATTAAACATCCACTGTTGTTGGATTAAGGAGGTCAACTTAGTCAAAACATAATCCATAAGTATCTAACAATAGTAACAAGTCTAAAATCATAATTTAAAACAAAAGCAAGACTCATAATGCTAAACAAAACAAAGTGATAAAAGTCATTAGAAAAGTGAAAAGTCAATCATAAAGTCAATATCTAACAAAAAGAATCTATAACATTCAAAAACACAACCAAATGAATTTTAAAAAATACAAGACTACCAAGAACTCATTTAATATCAAATTTTCTATTTTCTATAATTATTTGGTGATCTTTAAAAATGTCAAAAATATTTTAAAAAAATGAAAAAGTAGTCTAAACAATGAAATTTGACAATTTTACATACAATTTACTACCAAAAGCAGTAAATTTGCTCAGAATCACATTTTACTTTTGGATAAAAAAATTCAACCTAAAGTGAAAACTCTGAAAAGTACTTGTGAGCAAATATTACACAAAATCACAAAATTCAACAAAAATAGTTAGAATCAAGGTTAGTATATACCAAAGCCATTTCACAAAAAGTTAGTGATGGAAGAGCATGGGCTAAAGGCCCAACCACTAGAGCTATGGCTAAAGGCCCAACCACTAGAGCTATGGCCAGGAGATTACTTGAAGACTTGTCGGCTTCAGAGCTTAGTGGGCCCAATGAACTTGGTGGGCCTAGGGTGCTTCTCACTTGGACCTTACTTGAATAAAAACCATGTTTTATAGCACATTATTAGAATAGGAAGTTACTTTTGTTTTGGTCTTGTATTTTGACCATAGTTTAGGGTTTTACATTTTGGGCTTGTATTTGGGCTTCTTGGGCTTTAGGCTTTTGATACCCAATATTAGGCTCATTTTCCTTCTTGTAATTTTTCCTATTTCATTGTATTACTTTGACCATTGTATTTAGGTCATTAGTCTAGGAATTAGGAGGAAAACTTATTAAATAGGATTAAGTTAATCTAGGTTTAATTTAGCTTGCATTTAAGTTACATTTAGAGTCACATGGATGGCGCCACCTTGGCTGCACATGTGTGACCTAAATGTAACCCTAAATTCAAGTTAAATTAAATCCTAATTGCACTTAGCAACTATGTGACCGGTAACATGCATGTGATGTGAGATTTGAATTCAAATTTTCAAATTTGAATTCAAATCTTGGCGCCACATGTGAACCTTTCACATTGGCGCCAAGTGGCTCCCTTAACCGGTTCTATAAATGTTTCCTTCCATGCTTCTTGTATTCACTTTGACATTTATGAAATTTGAGAGCCATTGAGCCGAGTTTCTACATCAAAGTCACCCTGAAAATTCTCTTTCAAACCTTAGGAGTTCACCTTGTTCCTTCTCTTTGAAGTGAGCAATCCATTGCTCTTTAAGCTTGGATGCTTCCATCCAAGGCTTAAGCCTCTTCCTATCCGAGAATCCTCCTCCATCAAGAGTTCATTCATGTTGATTTCTATCTCCTTTGAAGAAGATCCAAGCTAGGAGAAGCTAAGGAGAAGAACTCCAATCACTCCTCTTTTCCTCCTCCATCAATTTTGGTATCAAAAGCAAGGTCTTCAAGGAGATAAGTGTCTTCATCTTTTTGTGTTCGTGGTCTTGTTGTGTTCTTGGTCTTGTTGTGTTCTTGTGTTCTTGTGTCTTACTTGGGTTCTCTTTTCGGATCTATTTTGTTTTGAATACTTGTGTTCTATATATACTTTGAATCAAATTTTATTCCATGGATCCATTGCTTGATTGTTTTTGAATTCCTTCCACAATCAACATGTTTTAGGACCTTTTTGCTTGTGCATAATTTTGATTTTCTTTGAGTCTCTCCATTCTTGTATGTGTCCGTGATTGGACCTCATGCATTTGCATTAGAATTTGGTTTTGAATATATGTTTTGTCTTAGAGTTTGTGTTTAGTCCTTATATGTTTAAAAATTCCTTGAATAGCATGTTGACCTAATTTTCTTTTAGTACATTGTCTAATTGTTTGGTCTCGGTTTGCTTAATTTTCTTGCCTACCTATATGTGCTTTTTCTTTTGCCTTATTGAGTTCATAATTTGCTATTAGTTCTAGCAAATTTCTTTAGAGTTAGGTTTCCATTGTGTACTTAAGTTTTCATTTCACTTTCTATTGAAAATTCTTAAGAAAATTTGTTTTACTTAAAATTTCAAGTGCTTAATCCTACTTCTAGTGCACTATCTTTTTGGATTCAAATTTTAAAAGCATAGAGGCTGAAAAACAGAGGAAAA